AATGACATCAACAAACTGAAGTCCAATTTTTCATGACCAATTTCAGTCCAATTTATCATAGAATTAAAGGTTAAATTATATTCACAGTCCAATTTCAGCAATTCTTCATGACCGGAGTTGGGAGCAAAATACCTTCGAGGCTAAGACCGAAGGCTGACGGAGGAGGCTGGAGGCGGAGGTTAGAGGCGGAGGTTGGACCTTGAAAGTCAACGTCGGAGTCCGAGCGACAATACGAGGCTGAAAGGAGGAGAGACGAGGGGGTGAGCGTGGGACGAGGCTAGGGTTTAGGAGGTGCGATTTTTTGAGAGTAAATTCTGAATTTTTGATGGAGTAAATTCTGAATTTCTGTATATAATAATTTAATATAAAGGCGGGTCAGCCCGTAGGCTAGCCTGCCTCGCCCCGCGTAGGCCCGCTCCCCTGTGGGCCTAGAAAATCCCGGCCCAACCCGCCACTTCTGCGGGGCGGGCCGGCCCGCGGGCCACGGGCCAAATTGACAGCTCTAACCACAAGGCTCGTAGGTTGAGATTCAATCCCAAAAACCAACTTATTTCTCGCATTCCAAATGAAGTACAAGGTTGCGCAAGCGCCGCTTTCTTCATCTTGGTTTGCCAATTAGTCACTCTAACCTCCTTCTTAGTCCATTTAAGGGCCGCTTTGAGAGTCAATGGCCTATGACGTAGGTTAATCCAATCACGAATCTCCCCCATATCTCCAAACTAAATAGGCATTCAATGAAAGGTGACCCGATGATTCATCCACTCCACCGCAAAGGGAACAAGTCGGGTCTACCTCGAGGAACTCTAATCCTTTGTACGCAGACGATTGAACACTCCTAGCCAAAGAATGAAGGAGTGCTTGGGGTATCGCAAGGCCCCCAAACAAACCCCATCCAAGACTTTAATGTACCACGGGGCCTTGGAAAGTCATAACAACTTCTCAACCCGTCTTGCTTATCTCGCGAACTCCAACGATGAAGTAGGGCTTTCGCGGCTTGCTCGCTACCCGCATTCTCTTCCAAGACACATCGGATCTCGATGAAATATTTGAAGACGGTCGATTATCTTCCAAGACACATAGGATCGGCAAATGTTAATTCCTAACATAAATACATCACTTTTATAGTTTATATCAGTGTTTTAATTAAATACCTGCTAGTAATATCAGTTATTTGTTGTCTGTTCGGTATGGTAATCCTCTAAATAAAATACCTTTTTCATACCGTTATTTATTAAAATAATGGGTGTATTGGATTTCTTATATATATATATAGAAACTAATTAACTTTTATCTTACGAGATTATCCCACAAACACTTATAATTAAAATTGTTGAATAACGTGATCAATAAGCAGTTGTAAAACTATTGTTATTTGTTTTGTTTATTATTTAATATCTTACATTGTTGAAAACGTAATAATATTTGGTTGTTTTGTGTAATTAATATCAAATGAATTAAAGTATAAATGTTTTAAATTTCAAGATCTAAATTAGACACGTTAATTTTTACATGGTGTGGTTGACATGACCAACTGTCGGGCCGGTCCAAAACGCAGCCCGGAGCAATGCCGGGCCTCTAAAGTCAAAACTTGGGCTCGGAACTGGCAGTTCACTGAACGGTCGTTTTTTTATATAAATAAAAGTCAAAGCAAACCCGTCTTCAACATGGAACCAACCCGAAACTAACCCGGAACCGACGGGTTGGGAAAAAAATCAAAGCCCGAAAGTGGTGCATTTGATATTGTCTTGTAAACATTTTTTTTTTCATAACTGTAAATTTAGATACCTAAATCAATTAAAAGAAGTGCAACTAATGAACCTCTCGTGCCTTTTTATGATCTTATTACAACTAGATGATCGTTTATATTTGTAGAAGACAGTGCAGATGTTGTTGGATTTTAAAAAAAAAAAGAACTTTTATTCATCACTTCAACAGTTTATTTCTTACGGTAAGAAAATTAAGATAACATTATAATTAAAATAGGAGAAATCATTGCACCAAAAAAAATAAATAAAATAAAACAGGAGCTTTTCACTTTTATTTACATCGAAACCAGAACAACCTAGATACTAGATCTTAACAAAGACCAAATACTACTAGATAACTCATGAACAACCATTCAAAACTTACCCTTCCCCTTCCCTCCAACCACATCTTTGAGATTTTTTAGCTCAGACGGGATCTCAGTCAACTTCTTGTTTCTTCCTTTTTGATGCTCCAGATCTCCTTCCTTAAACTCGAGTAGTTGCTGCATGAGGCGGCCTTTCAGGACCTCATCTTCTTGTTGGATCAACTCTTTCTGTCGCTCCACGAAATAAATGTGTGCCTCAGTGAAAACGCTGGCAGAGAGCATGTTTTTACCAAAACGTGTTAATACTATATAATGTATCTTTGCAATCCGATTTCTATGCAATCCGATTTTCTTCGCTACCCGCATTATATAGTATTAAC